TGCAGGAGTGACACCTACGAGAATGGGGAGATGCAGTCCAGTTGCAGAAGAACATTAAAAGGACTCCAAGTCACCTACAGGGTGTTGCGACAATAACTGCACACAGTCTGTGCTGCCCAAGTAAGAACTGAGAAAACTCCATACTGGAAGCATCCTCAGTGACACGCCATGCTCTCTTGTTTAAAGGAGACTCTGCTTATTTGTTTCTTTTCTGGCTGTTTATAACTTTTTTTATTAGGTTTTTTTTAACATTATATTTTAGTATCAGATTATCAGAGAAACTGGGACCGCTGCCATTCACCCTGTCAGAGACAGTGAGTGAGCACAGCTCCAAAGGTATCAGCTCACACTTATAGGTTTGGTTTTCTCTACATTTATCTGATGTACTTCACTTCTGTTGCCTAAATCACATTCTAAGGATATTTTAGCTTGCTGCAATCCGTAAGAACGATGTGGGGAACCAGTGATAATTTTATTCATGTAGGCAGTTTGGCTGTGAAGAAGATACTGTATCATTCATAGGTTGAATTCAGAGTTTACTACAGAAATGGCCAAATAGTTAATAATTCCAGTGAAAGGGAATGTCCTGAAAGGCTGGTCTTGTATTACTTCTCTTCTCATATAGATCTCTTCTGGCCCTTTCTCAAAGCGAGTTTCAAACCTGGGGTTTGAAAAAACCTCAACAAAAGCTTTACCCTACCTAGAACTGTACTGACCGCTGGCCTAAGAGAGGAGAAGGGGTCCTCTTGGGAGCAGAGATGAAGCAGGAGAGAAGAAAGGTCCCTTTTTGTTCTGTGATGCCTCTCTCAGGGCTGTGAATGAGCTAGAAGTGGCAGGATCTCATTCCTTACATGAAGGAGATCTAAGCAGAAGCACCGCTTGACATGAATATTCTCACTCCTTCCAGAGTGAAGAGCTAAACTAACAACACTTAGTCTGGGCTACATTTTTTCAATGTAGTCAGCATTTCTGATCTTTTTCTGAAGTACTGTTTTTCAGGAAAGAGGTAGAGTTCAGCTAACTGGCAGTCTGAGGTTCAAATTGTCTCATACCCTACCCAGTGCTCAACAGGAGGAGCTCATGGAACAGGAGATACACAAAGTAGCATAGCTTAACATTCTGGAAGCAGAAAAACAAACAAAGGCGTGATGGAAAAAGTGCAGCATTCTCATGCTGTCCGGGAAACACAATTTAGTAAAGCTGCCCTACTGTTGAAACTATGAAGGGGAACGAAAACAAACGAAGTCAGATCACCTGTAGGCAGAGCTCTTCACATTAGCCCTCACGGTATGAACCTTCCAAAACAGTGCAGATGCGAGGAATCTTGTTAGCACTGACCAAGGAGTGCTGCTTCTTCCTCCCTTCATTTGTCCTGAGGGACAGAGGGTTTATTCCCAAAAAATCTGCTGCTCCAGTGTGTACAATCCCCTAGCTAGTTTTTAACACTACAGAAGAGGCCAGTTGGACTCTGTGGATCTGCACAGCCATCTCAGAGACAGATACTACATTCATCCACATTTTTATTGAATGTATGCTTTACATTATCACAGAGGGACAATTAACGTTTGACAGTCAAGACAAAAAGTTAAAAGTGCCCTAAAAAGGTGATCATCTTGTCAGAACAGCTGGTCAAGACAGTTACACTTCCAAGATGTGTAGGTCTCTGAACTGCCTTCCTATGATTTCAATAATTAGAGAAAACCTGGGATAATCATGAAAGATATTTTAACCTCAACAGAGAAGGAACTAATCTTGTCAGTGAGAGGGACAAGTGCTTCCTGATACATAGCTGAACACAGCTGAACAGCATCTGATTTGTAAGAGACCAATATTTTTTTAACTCTTTTTATCTCTTGAGAAACAAAATAATGAAGGAATGAAGGGAACATCCAAACACTTCATTTTAGTTAAAATCACAGCATATAATTTGGTCTGATCAACACAATTATGAAGGCCAAGGGAAGGTCCAACAAAACTGATTAATTACTATGAAAATTAGAAATCAATTTATGTGAGCGTTGCAGATAAAAGCATCTTATTAGTTTATCTTACTGAGAAACCATCAACAGCACATCAGACAGCAGCACTGTGGTTCATCCACCTACACAAAATCACTCAGACGGCCAGTTTATCTGCTCCATAGAAAAGGAACTTACACAGTGGCTCAAAACACAGTTCATTTTCATCAGTCAAATAAGCTATAAAAGGGTCACAAAATGGTGACTTATTCACTGGTCAGTAGGCATTATTAAGCTCTGTCATTATTTTACCATAATGTGAGTGAATTCCTAATCTTTGAAGATATGATATGCCAATACAGCCAAACAATGAAATGTTACTGATGCTGTTGTAAATCAGAGAACATGAGATGAACAGGCGTAAAGGGGAGGTTATAACAATAACCACTTTTCTTCCTTTGACCAACGTAAGAATTAGCGTGTCAGTAAATTCTTTATACTTTGAAAGAACAAGATTTCAGAGTCCTTAAAATCAGACTGTAGGAAAGTAAGCCAGAGGTCTTTACTCAAAACTGATGTGTCAGTAAATCCAAGAATTAAAGGAGAATTTGAAAGTCTCCTCTGGAGACCCAAAACAGGTTTAGAAGTTAGTCAAAATTTGAGACAGCAAAGTTATATTTGTCTATCTAACTATATATTATATTTCAACAAAAATGGAATGCAAAAACTTACAGACATTTCATACTTGGTTGAGAAACAGGAATTACATGTCTAAATCTGAACTGAGAAAAGATAATACAATGCATTTGTACTCAACCAGTATTAATGTGCTATTAGTGTTGGTTTTGCTCAGAGATGTACAAATGTTTGCTCCTCAGCAGTAATTTGGTATTTTAGAGGCAGTTCTCACACTGGCTTACACTTAGCCCCAGAACTCCAAGTCTTCATGTCAAAACAATACTGATGCTTGTTATACTCAAACCAAAAGATTTCCTTCCTTTGCCAATAGTCCATTTGAGGCAGATTTTGACATTATAGCTTTGAGACAAGTACAGTCACAGAAAATACTGTCTTCAATGTCTGAACAAAGATGAATCAAATGTTTTTAAAATGCACTGAAAGATCTGAAAGAAGATTTAGTAATTCTTACTCATTCCAATTTCCAGTTTTAAAGCTCAATAAATCTCTGCAAATATCTTCCTTCAACACTATCTGAAGCCTTGATAATTTCAATTCTGGATCATGTCCAAGAGATATTACAGACCGATACTTTGCTACGACCCTCAACTGAAAAGAGCCTGGGATGTGTTCCTTTCCTTTACTGCAATAAAATCTCCAAAATACCTACAAGACTCACTCTACAGACTATGTTTTACCAGAACACATAAGCAAAGCTTGAACACCTTCAGCGTGCATGTACCTGTCTAGGCTCCCACATCAACCTGTTGTATTCAGTTCTGTATAGGCTACATGCCTTCTTCCTCCCAGGGCCTGTTTTTCTTTCTGCCACCTCTAAGGTACAGCATTGGATCTAGTCCCTGATGCAGGCAGATATCCCTATTTCCCCAGGCATTATTCAGACTGTGGCAGTCCTTGTTTTTCCTCTTGTTCCCTGACACTTCTGGGTCAACAGGACTTTATACAAACTAAGCAGGGACAGCTTCTCTAAGGAGAAGAGTAAACTTCCCCTCTCTAGGTCCACTGAGGCCGAGAGAGCAGCAACCAGAATAAAAACCTTCTTTTCTGCAAGAAGTAACAAAAAACTCCTAAATAATTCTGTCTTTTCACAGTTGGTCAATTTTCTCTCCTTATTCAGGACCACTTAAGTGACAATGCTCTTCTCTAACAAGGTACAGGTTATGTCCTTGCTACATAATAATGTACAACCCCAAAGCTTCCCATTACATAAAGAAAAGTCTCTCTAAACTAAATGTTTATTTCTCAGTGGTCCTTGACAAGATAACAACAGTACTTCTTATCATGAGGTTTTTGACAATACAAATTCAGTATAGCTAGTAAAAAAAGAAAAGGCAACCATTGCTAAAGAAATCATAAATCTCTTCAGCCATCTGCAAACAAGGATAAACACTAAATAATTTTTACAGAATTCTTACATTTTTAGGCTTTTTCTTTCATTTCAACATTATTTTATCATTTTCAAATATTTATACTAAAGCTAGTATTAAAATCTGGTTTTTTTGTTATCCCACACTTGGCTTTGATCTTGACCAACTTTGCACCGAGGCTGACACTTATGGGTTAGTTTGAAATACTAGATGTAGTTATACAACTGGCTAGTTTCCATAGTTAACTCTGGTTTACTTTGTTTCCCCTGTTTTCTTCCCACTCTTCCAGTCTTTAACATCCTTCTCTCACTTTGCTTAACGTTTTCCTTGTATATATACTTTTGTCATGTTTTCCAGTGTTCCTCCTTTCTTCCTCATAGTTTTCCAACTCCCAAATTCCATTTTTGGGAATATCTATTTCTCTGTCCTCTCTTTCCTTTTTCCTGCACCCCATTTCTTCCTACTCTGTCTTTGACTTCTTTTTTTCAGATGTGCCTGCTGATTTGTCCAATGCCTTCTGCACTCCAAAATAGTCCAGGTCCTGCTCCTGGATTTGTCACTGCCTATACTCACAAATGTAACTTAAACCGCTCTCTCGCATCATATAGGATGTCCTTAGGATGTCCTGTATTCACAAATTAAAGTCTACAACTCACTTCAGACTTGACTTCCAGAACATAAGCTCTGGAAACTCAGAGAAAAGGTTCTAGAGCAGTGTCCCAGCACAAGCCATACTGTCCCACAGGACCAGTAGAGAAGCCATAACTTTTGTGCCACGAAGAAAGGGACTTTCCTAACTGTCCTAACTACAAAGCACTGCTAATGTTTGCAGACAGAGGGAATGGTGGGGATGTGCTCACTTGCAGACCCACACCAGTCTATGCAGCATGAAATGAACGAGCTGGCAAGCTGTTGTTGAATAGGCAGATTGAGGATGTGATGTCTGTAGGTGGGACCATTGTACCTCCAGAAGATATGGTCCATTTGCCAGTGGCTTAAGACAAGATGTGATTTCGGCAGGTAATATTCTGCAGTGCAACAGTAACTCATTTCTTCTTTCCATCAGGGTAATAGTGTTACCATACCAGAGGGGTAGAATACCATTTGGCATTTCAGTTAAGAACCACGGTAAGTGTGTTTTTTGTCTTCAGTGCCCTTTACTCACACATAGGCTGTTAAAGACCTTACCTTCTAAATCTATTAACTCTCAGCTTAGACAATGTGTGCAAACCTCACAGTATTCTAGAGGTGACAGCACAATTCCTAACAAAGCAACAAAAAGGCACAAAACGACCCTCCAAAAGCAAAAAAAACTAAAAATCTGGCACAGGAGGACCTAAACACATGTATTCAAAACATACATTTTGGTTATACTTACAGCTACTGTCACAAGCAAACAAACCTAAAAAGGAAACTGTCTGGCTGGGTATCAACCATCACTGTTATAGGCACGAGGAAGAAAAAAGTCTTGTTCGGGGAATCCCTTAAGGAAAAAAAAAGACAAGCCTAATGCCAAAGTTTTTTACTTCCTCTCACGTTCTATCAGCCCAGAGCCCAGAGCTGTATACTGTGCCCATTATCAAGGTGCAGCAATGAAGTTGCCTGTCAACAAATGGCAACAAACAAGAATTAAGACAACTTTTACCCTTCTCATGCTGCTCATGAATCATCGTGAAACAATGGAAGAAAATATGGCCTTTAATCACTGTACTTAATTTTTTCCTGATCAGTGCAAAAACAGTGGTAAAAACAGCATGAGAAAGGATCAACATAGAGCTTTGTGAAATCTGACTGCCAGACTATTTAGTGTTGTTACCTACTCTGAGACTTCTCCCCTCAGTTATACACCACACTACTTACATTCATTAGTGTAAATGCAGTTCTAAGAAGACATATTTATTCTCAGTGCCAAGAGTAAACCCTGAAATCAGAGACACTGTTGATTATTTCAAAGGAAAAAACCCCATCAAACTGAAAAATAACAAAAATAATGAAATGATGTTACAACAGTCCAAAATAAACCAATTAATTTTTACATTTTGAATTTATTTTGACAAATCTGCAGCAAGCATTATCAACTGTGTGAATAACATTTAAAAAGAATAGAGATTTTAGATATTTGATTGGCGGTGTATTTTCTTACAGCTTCTATATTTCTTTTATGTCTAAAAAATAGATTTTACTCCTGGTCCCTCACTAGTATGCAAATTTCTACCAGAATTAAGTAACCCATAGAAAAGGATGGAAGAAAAAATTAAATTTCTGAAGCATATAGTATTCTGTTTTGGTTTGGGTTTGTTCTTTTTTGTTTTGTTTTGTTTTTTTCCACTGCAGGTAAAGCCATTTTTCACAATTGCTCAGCAAACAAGAGAAAGTCCATTAGAATCTTCACACTGTTAACAAAGACTCTTGGCTAACAGTACTGGTCTAAAAAGTAGATAAGCCATATAATTTTACAAGAAGCAACCCACTGAATCCTTCAGCAAACACAGCTTGGCAATCTATCTTCAATTCAAAATAATGAGGTGGCAGGAGTGTGATGGAGAAATAAGTCTTCAAAAACATCACGTAAGGGAATCCAGCTGTGCTTGTATAGTTTCCAGCTATTTAAAGGAACAAAAAGAGAGGAAAAAAACTCCACTCATAAAATGTTGTTTAGAAACATGCAAACAGAAATAAAACCACATTCCAGTATCTTCAACTATGCATACCAAATCTATTTGCATAGCAATATAAAAACTCTGTACTCATGAATATTTGTTTTTACATGAAGCTATTACAATTCATTGCTGCAGTTTAAATATTCAAATTTTAAAAGAAACAGTTGTCTAAATACTGCCTCTTTTACATGCACAGATGTTTTGCTGTGAATTTCCAATGCATAATAACAAGGTAAAAAAATAATAGAGTTCATTTTGACTGGATTACAAGCCTGGCATTTCAACTGAAGATGTAACACAAAGATGCTGTTTCCAGAGAGATCCCCATTGTTAATCATCAGCTACTCCTCCTGATCTAACTGCAAGGTATGCTTACAACAACCCAAGCCCTGTCTATTCCAAATCTGAATGCGCAGGCTCTTTTTGAAAATGCTTTATGTGATCAAACAAATCCAACAGCCTTAATTTAAGATGGATTCATTTTTTTCTAGTTTTATTAGATTTAATTCATACAGGCAACACTTCCTGCTGAGCAGCATAAGGTGTTTACAAAGAAACTATAGTATTGTAAAATCTACAGACCTTGTTATAGAACTCAAACAGCTCCTGATGGCTAAATTCTACAAACACTTTCTTCAGGTTCTGTAATGAAAAAAGAAGGAAGGAATAAGCACATTTTTTCATTTCTTTTTTGCATTAATTCCAGTAAATCAGAGTATGAGATTAAGCTACATGAATGATGTTTGCACTCAATATGATGTCCCTCCTACATGTATATTCCATTTCAGTGAAGAATTCAAGTCTCCTGGTACATCCTGTGAAGAATAGTAATAAAAAGGATTTAGTTACCTTAATTTTAAGTCAAACAAAAATGAAGGATTACATTTGTCTTTCTTAGTAGTCCATCTAAGACTTGGTAAATACCATTACACAGTGACAAAGTTAGTAGTGTATTTGGTTGAACTGGCACAGCCATTAATGTACTGCACCAGCACAGAGCTGATACTTCTATTCATTAATCTAACAGTTCCCGTCTGAGCATGCTCATACTGTTTAGGCATCTCTGCACAGATTCAGCCCAAGTTAACAATTAAGACAACAGCTTCAAAGCAGTGCTTAAACACTAAAAAAACCCCCAAAATAACCCAACTGATGAATATGTGGATAAAACAGATGTGGTAATAATCCTCTGCACGCATATGCTCATGTTTGTGGAGATGGAGGTTAAATTATAACTTCTGTCCTGCTTAACTTGCTGGCAGTAACAGGAAGTTTAATGCCTGCTACCTTCAATCACAGTGCAGATGTATCCAGACAGTTTCTAGCTTTATTCCTTGTACTTCACTTTGTGACTTTATTCCTTTAAAAATAAATTTCTATTTCTGCACATTCTCTTTGTTGTTGCTAGACTTTTCAAGGCTTGGAGGCATTCCTGAACATAACAGCTGCACTTCCATGAACGCTAATAAGGCTCTGTGAAAGCTGAGTCTGTGGACACCCCTACTCACAAAATATTACTAGCTGAAATAACGTACACACACTACTTTGGTTTAACTGGTACCAACTTCACATACCACTCAGGTCAGTGCAAAAACGCTTGTTTATCAATTCAGCTTAAATGAGCAACGATACTTTCACATACAGACAAGGCCAGTTTCTGTGTACTCATAGCAATGCAAGTCTCAAGTTATGCCAAACAATGTCACTGAATTTGGCGCACCAAATGCACAAGACCCATAAAAGCCCTGGGAACACAGTATAGGTACTGCCTGGTGTCTGCTCCTCAAAAGGAGCTGTAAGAGACACAGGAAAGGGATAAAATGACTGGGGCCAGCCTGTCTGGTGCAATTCCTCCTTCTTGCTCTGCAGAAAGAAGGATCCCTTCCAACAATTTCGGGAAGGGTACAAAAGCCTAGAAAAGCACCAGTGATTTGCATGAGAGACCAATCTTTTCCCTCTGGGAAGGAACAATGCAATTCTGTGAATCGTACGGTGAATACAAAATAAAACTACCAGGACAGCAGTTCTCTTTGCCATGACTCCAGCTGGTCCTCCCTCCAAAGAGCATAATGCCGTGACAGGGAAGTAAAAGCATTTTTAAAGGCTTTCTAACAGCTAAGAAACAAAAGAAAGCAAACAAGGGGTTTCTTCAGGAAAGAAAGCGGGTAGAGGAAAGAAGGAAGATACACTAATAGCAAAGGGATCTACCATTTCAGCCAGGATGTTTGTTCGGCATTTGCCTTTCTAGAAGGGGTTTGGTGCTTGAATGGAAGGAAGCAAAACTGCAGAGAGGCGATTCAGAACAAAAGGCAGATATCATATATCTTAAAAGCTTATCAGTCACAATTAATAGGGTCATCTCTTGCATGCTTTCTGGTTGAAGAGTCTGCTGGATTTTGATCTGACAGTTTAGCAACGCCTCCAGAGAGGGGCAGAGGAAGACCTCTGACTACCAGATATTTCTCCGAGCTCTTTGTTTCATTCAAGACAGGCATCTTCTGGTACTACTTTTGATCAGGAAGCACAATCAGCTTCTCTCGCTCTCTCTCACACACACACACAAAAAAGAAATCGAAAAGCTTGTCTGTCATATTTTCTTCTAACTACATTGATTACTGTTAGTTAAAACATAGGGTATGCAAACAAAAAAAAAGTGTGGACATTTAAATTCAGATTCTTTGTACTAAAAAAAAAAATCACTATGTTTTATGAATAGGATGAGATCTCTTTTCCCATTATTATTTAATAATTGTAGTCTGATAACTAAGATAAAATCTATCTTGTATTCTGGCAGGCAAATGTCTGTGGAGAGCTAAAAGAAAGCATGCCATGCCAGGCTATGTTTCTAACCTGGGGTGGGAAGGGAAGTATCAATGGGAGAGAGGATATAAGAATCTTGTACAAAATCTGTTGGCTATCTGCACTTAATCATCTGCTAAAACACAATTGGTTTTATGCGTAAAAACCTGGTACACCTACTATGTCAATTCAGCAGACAGCAGTGTCACAAAAAAACCCCATGCAGAAGTGTGGCATCAATAAAAAATGTTATTTTTAAAATATTACATTTCTCACTAGCATGAGTCCCTTAAGAAATGTGACAAATTATCATTGGTATGTGGTCAGAAGTCCTATATAGACTATAAAAACATCATAACTAGCTCCCTACAAGAAAAAGCTATGTCTCAGCAGGGTGACAGCCCCCCATTTTCAGCTGAGACATCCATTATTCAATTACTTGCTTTATTCTGTGTGAACATAACTCTAATTAAAACTATGTGCCGCAGGACTAGGTTACCATTCAGTTCTTTAATTACTCAGTAAAATAGTCTTAAAAACTACTGTATAGATAGAATATTGCTAAAGACTTCCAAGTAGGCAAATTCCTAATTTACTTGATGGAATCTTACTCAGATAAGTATACAAAATTAAAAACCCCAATAATATTTCAACTGCAACTAAAACATAGGATAGAAAAAAATCACTTTCAGCTTACTTACTTAATTAAATGTCACTGTGTGCAGCCAGAGTCTCAACCTATTTATGAAAAATGCAGCTAAGTTGACTTCTTTTATCTGCACATACAGGTTTTCAGATGTTGCCTCTGACCTAGTACACATTTCCCAGACATAAATAAGAAAACAGTAATTTGCTCCATGTCTAACTTCTTTCTTCTTTTTATCAAGTGTATCATTCTCTTTTGCTTTTTCCTGATAAATTTCTTCCCATTCTTCACCTTCGCACTACTCTTTCTCTCATTTCTGGCATCTCATTTTCTCTTTGCTGCCATTATCTTCATGTGAAAGAAAACTAGATCGAGTAACCAGAAAACTAAACTGAGTTCATTCCCATTGTCACACTCTGTAACTCCAATGTTTTTTCTAATTACATCCCAAATTCTGTCACTGTGGCAATGTAAATCCTAGCTCCTACTTTTAAGAGTTCTAGCCTTGAGGATGACAGCTTCATAGCGTCAGAGAAACACAGCTGAAGCTGTTATTCTTATGAAAACAAAGAAATCTCTAAAGTACCAAATGTCCATTCTTTGGGCTGCTTTGAAAACACGGAGACAGGTTTTTTGTCTAATACAATACCCATGAACGGTGGCAGGGACTGCTCTGGAGCGATACGCTCAGTGAGCACAGCTAAAGGGTATGTGCAACATCATCAGCTAAATAAAGTTGCTGTTCAGTTCAATGTGTTCATCTTCTGTAAAACAGGACAAAGCATTGCATTCACTACTGGAAAGGTCTGTGTGAATTGCAGGTGTCATCCAAGATAAATCTTTACATCACTCTGAATCGATTGCAAGGAATATGGTAATAAATTTTCTGAAATGTATGGTTTAACATATTTGGCCATCATATGGATCACTAGTGAATGTATTTTAAGTATTAACATTAAATTTTAGTGCCATTTTGCCTTTATACATCTAGATGAAATCTGATTTCATCCCACCTCTTCTCTCATCCCAGGGTTGTATCAATTTACAATTTACAGCCTCCTGAGAGCTGTGAAATTCTAATAAGTTTAACTGATAGGGTTCTTTTCTCCCCTTAACTATCTTCTCACTTGCTGTTTGGTATCATTTTAAAAACATAACATCTTCATCAGTCTCTAAAACCAAATTTCCTTTGGGATGTGGGAGGGGGGCAGGGAAGAGGAGGGAGAAATGAAAGGAAAATGAAGATAAAACCTTTGTGTTCCCAGTCAATATTAATATGCTATCCTATCAAAAATAGCCATTCTGAATGTACGGCTAATTCTACAAAATAGCCAGTCATTTAATATACACTTAGCTTACAACCACCAACAAACAATTAGGTAAATTGCGAGCTGAACATGATCATCAGCATAAAATGATCAAGATGCAAGTATACAAGCTGCATAAGAGTCTCCAATTTCCCATTGCCTCAGCTAACTATTTCAAATATGAATATCTTCTTGCTGTAAAATGTTTCTGTGGAAACAAAAAATGTCTCCTCAAAATATTTCAGAAAGCAGAGGCAAATTCCTGCTTATAATCAAAGGATTCAGTATTGCTTTTGGGGCTTTGTTTGCTTATTTTTTTGTTTCATTTTATGGTGGGGATATTTGTTTGTTGGTTGGTTGTTGCTTTTTTTTTTTAATACAATGCTCTAGATGTTTCTATTTTCACGTACTACTGCAAAAAGCTTCATTACTAATGACGGAGTTTTGCAACCTTGCATACTACACAGTTGTATTCCACACATTTAACTCCCCCAACCCAAGCATAAGGATAAAGTAATGCCCTAGAAGTTATAAATAAAAGGTAAACTTCCGGGTTTAAAGCTAACTTGAATATGAAAAACTGATATTGCTGTAATAGTTTTCAACTGCAAAGCTGTAACTACTTCAATGATGTTGCAAAATAAATGCCAAGTATTCTGAAGCAAACAGGTGGAGGGACAGGCTGGCTTGTATATCTAAATGTCTATCGATAATGATAATGTTCTACGACTGAGGACATGTAAAAAATCACAGTATATTCAGAGAAGTTTGTTAATAATAACTAAGTGAAGTAACACATATCCCAATCTTCATATTGTAATATAACCTTGAATACTATCTTGAGACACTTCTCAATTAGGTTTGAGAGAATATTTTCACATTGCCTATCT